ATCAAGGGTAATGTCAAGTGGGTGTGGGTGAGAGAGAAGTGAATTTTGATGAAGGCTGGACTGAAAATCTCTACTTTTCGTTTCATTTGCCCAGATCTTGAATGGCCAATTTTCTCACTTTGGGAACAGTCATATTCCAGGCACCGGCGATTTAGAGTTTCTAAATGTTTGTTCCTTCCTTCCTGGTCACAGATTGATTTCAGAGATTTAAGTTTTTAAAATGGATCTCCCAAATGGATATAAAAACATTCTATACACATTCTAACCAATGGATAGATAATACAATTAGAATATAGCAGTAAACAACTGTAATAATTGGGTAGGTTGTGGAAGCAAAATTAGGCAAAAACAAAATTTGGAAGTTATTATTTCTATTATTTCTACTCGAGAGACAGAGCAATTGGACTAGAGCTTGTTTGTTTACAGACAGTCACCCAGAGATATCTAGTTGTGTTTAAAGGTTTTCACACCCGGCCAGAGATTTCATTGTTTTGGCCAGATTTTGGAGATTATAAATGATAACACCATTTTTATATTTTTCTCACTTTTAATGGTGGTGGTTGTAAGTACGTATGTCCTTACACCACAAAGCACATTCAGGACCTTTTGTACACGTTTATAAGTGATAAGGGAAATCTGAGCACCTGGAGGAAACCTACACAGACACAGGGAGAACATGCAAACTCCACTGGCGATGGAAACAAACCTATGACCCTTTTGTAAACGCAAAATATATGATTGCAGACGCATAGATGTGTTTTCTACATAAAATCATAAGAAATATGGATCTTTTAAAAGGCTTTTTGTGCAGTTATGTTAAAACTGAGGAGGTCATGACAACAGATGCAATAGAAGTCAGAATTCTCCACTTAACGTTTTGCTTTTCTGAAGGTCCTTGGTAAAAAAAAATTGAACGCTGTGAAAACTATGGTTGTGTTGCTTTGTGAGTGAGTAAGTATTCATAGCATTTATATAAAACATGTCTTCTGCTAAGAAACGATTCCAGATCTATGCACCTTTTGTCAATCTCCTCGCATATTTGAACCAATCTGCGGAGGATCTCAAACAAGCAGTCCATGCAAGGCAGCCCAGCAATTTACATGAGGCTACTTGAGGCTTTTTGACAAGAAGAACGGGCAGCTTTAGCGTCAGAGAGGATAAACAACCTCAATTCAATACGGATCCGGAAATACATAATGCGATCTGGTTATCCCCGGGCGCAGATCCGTGAGCTGCACACAGCCTCAGTCCTCGTTCTACAGCCTGAGTTCTGGCTGTAGAACTTGTCCGTCCCTGAGAGCAGATCCCCACATTGTAAGATGTTTCTCCCTGTTTCCGAACTGTTTGATTCTCTGGTCTGTTGTTGAGGAATCAAAATCATTGTAAAGTCCTCCAAGAAAGCTAGAGTTGGCTGCACGAGAGAAGCGGATTGGCCTTTTTGACGAACATCTTGTGTACCTCGAACAGACCTGACTAAACGGGAGATACATTCCTTCTCGTTGAAATCACTCCTTGTTAAAAGTGCATTACTGTCAGGCCCTGTGTACTCCCGTGAAAACAAATGCATTGTCTGAAAAGTGGCGTGCGTATATTTTATTCAAAGCTGCGTACGCCGCACTGGGAACCGGTTTTGAATGGGAGCCTGGTTTGTTGGAAGAGCCAGAGATGCTGCAGCTGTCTGAGAGGTGTGAGTGAGGGGAGAGCACCTGCAGCCTCAGGAGATCTGTCACGAGATTATCGCTGGGCATCGAGGTGTGTGAGAGGAGTCTGGAGCAAAATGTACGGCCCACACTCCCGCTGTACTACTACAAGTAAACTGCTGCTGTTACTGCTGTTTGTTTACTTACTTTGTTTCATGCATAATACATTTTGTTTTGTCTTGTTGTCGGGCAGAAGCATGATTTTCTTATTCCAATTGTGTCTTTTTGGATTGAATTCAATTTATGTTTGTAAAGCTAAATAGGAGGACTTCATAAATTTGTAGATTGACCAACAACAAATCAGAGAATCAAACAGTTTGTACACAGGAAATGATAGCTATTACAACCAACACATACAGTAGGAGCCATTGGTTCATAGGGAGCGGGATGACCAACGTCTATAAATGTTAATAAATGTACTTAAATCTCCCAGATCCTCACTGTCCTTAGACCCTCCTGCGTCAGCAAGGAACAACTCAAAAGATAAACAGTGAAAAAATCCCAATATTAAGAGAGGGATCTGCTCCCACAAACGGGAATCTAGGACTCAGGCTAAAGATCCAGGACTGAGGCTAGAGATCCAGGACTGAGGCTATAGATCCAGGACTGAGGCTGTAGATCCAGGACTCAGGCTAGAGATCCAGGACTGAGGCTATAGATCCAGAACTGAGGCTATAGATCCAGGACTGAGGCTATAGATCCAGGACTGAGGCTATAGATCCAGGACTGAGGCTGTAGATCCAGGACTCAGGCTATAGATCCAGGACTGAGGCTATAGATCCAGGACTGAGGCTGTTGATCCAGGACTCAGGCTATAGATCCAGGACTCAGGCTGTAGATCCAGGACTCAGGCTATAGATCCAAGACTCAGGCTATAGATCCAGGACTCAGGCTATAGATCCAGGACTGAGGCTATAGATCCAGAACTGAGGCTATAGATCCAGGACTGAGGCTATAGATCCAGGACTGAGGCTATAGATCCAGGACTGAGGCTGTAGATCCAGGACTCAGGCTATAGATCCAGGACTGAGGCTATAGATCCAGGACTGAGGCTGTTGATCCAGGACTCAGGCTATAGATCCAGGACTCAGGCTGTAGATCCAGGACTCAGGCTATAGATCCAAGACTCAGGCTATAGATCCAGGACTGAGGCTATAGATCCAGAACTGAGGCTATAGATCCAGGACCGAGGCTATAGATCCAGAACTGAGGCTATAGATCCAGGACTCAGGCTATAGGTCCAGGACTCAGGCTATAGATCCAGGACTCAGGTCATAGATCCAGGACTGAGGCTGTGTCACAATTTGTATAGACTTTCAATGTCCTCAATGCAGGCTATACAAAAGTTGTGAGAAAATACTTTTAAAGCTGGTCACTCATCACCCTGTCTTTAAAACACTGGTTCAGACTCCACTTCTATGTCTGATTATTCCATGTCAAAAGTTACTGAACTACTTCGGCTCGTGCGTTTTTTGAACCACTTTCCTTTTCATCCCGTGTTCAGGTCCGAACATCCTGCCAGCCAGCGACGTCCCCGTCTCCACTGCCTGCTTGTCTTTCTATTTCTCGTAAATTCAAACCACTTTTTGTGTGTGTCTCTGTCTCTACACCTTTTTATAACAACTTCCTCTAAACTGTCAAACAAAGATGGCCTCAAAGATGAACGTTTTTGTATCACCTCTTAGCGAACGTCACATATACAGCCCTCTCCGCCGCCTCTGTTCAAATATACAAGTGTTTTTGGGCTGTCACGCTTTCTGTCCTAAGCCTCGGGTGGAATTTTGGCTCGCCTGATTCCATGTAGCTTTTATGAGGAAGCTTTAATCAACTTCTTTATTTGCCGACCACCACAAGCCGTATCCAGTTGCTGCAAATGGAACAGCTCCACGGAGTAGCAGAGAAGGCATTGGTTTTGTTAAAAAGAAAACAATCATTCTTTGGCGTTTGTCATAAAACGTGTTGCTAATACAAAACTTGAGCGTGCGATTAAGAAGTAGGTGGCTGTATGTATCCCGAGAAGACTTTGTGGGCGACATAAATAAACTTAAGCGGAGGATCTTGTTGTTGTTGCTTGTGCGGAAATTGAACACCTCTGAGAAATGGACACAACATGAAAATAATATAATTAATTGCATTGGTTATGTATAACACGTTTTTCTGACACTCAAAGTCACGGCTGCCCTGGAGCACACTGACAGAAGCAAGGTGTGTGCCATCGGCCCCTCAGACACATTGAAAGTCCGACACATTACAGCTGCTCTACTGTGGCCCCTGATGTTCCCAGAGGTCTCCCATCTCAGCACTAACCAGGCCCTGGCTTTCACATGCAGGTGGAGCCACAAAGAAACGCAGTGAGGTCCTGTGGCTGCAGGGCGACATGATTAGGGGTGTCTTTCAGAGCCAGTGATACGTACAGTATTCGATACCAGTGACTGAATCCGATATACGTTTCGAAACAATTTTTGCCCATTTTCTGTTTTGCCACATTTGGACCAAAATACAGCACTTTCGATGCATTATGTAATTATTCAAAGACTTTTAAAAGGTTATAAATTTGAAATTGTCAATAATGATAATAGATATTTTTTTTTAATCAAGAAAAATAGAGAAAAAAATATTTCTGATGGTTCAGTTGGTTATTGGCCTTTGTGTCTGAAGGTTGTGGGTTCAAGCCCACCACAAAACCTTCTCCACCGACTCCACTGATGTCTGCTTTCGTTGTGTCCTTGGGCAAGACACTTTGATAAATGTGCCTATGAGGAGCGCGGAAGTAATGTTTGCTGCATGCCTTGATGTGTGTACTGTATGTGTATTCATCAAACTGAAATTTCCCCTTCTTCTTATTAAATTGAAAATACTTTGATTTTAAAGTCTTACCAACTTACATATATGATTATGCAAGGCAAGTACCCAGAGTCAAGACTAAGCATGGAGGCAGCTAAAATCTGGAACAGTCTTCCTGAAAATGTGAGACAGCCTTCATCTCTGACAATGTTCAAATTGAGGTTGAAACCAGTTCTGTTTAATCTGAGCGATTGCATTTTCACTCTTTTTAATGTACTGTTATTATTTATTATTTCAATCCCTTGTATAATCGTTTCTATCTGGTTCTGTTCCACACCATGAGTTGCATTGTGTTTAAGCAACTGTTCTATACAAATAAACTTGCATTGACAGCCTACAGATGATCCGACTCATTGTTAATTACAACCCTAAAAACATGCCAAATGTATTTATGTGTGGTCTTGTCCATCATAAAACAAAATTACGAAGACAAATTGAGCCAAACATAGCACTCACCATCAGCCCAGACTCCCCCGTGTGTCCTGGATCGCCCTGCACAGAAAACAGAATTAATTCTTACGACTTTGTAGTTTCATTGTAAACTACATTCATAAAAGTTGGTCCACATTTCTGGTGAGAAGTGCAGTCTTCACATTAAGTCTTTCTCTGCTGTTCGAGGAGAAGTGAGGCTTAGTATTGACAGCTTTGAGTCGGCTGCAGGCGGTTATCAAGTTTGCCACCTGTCCTGTTCACCTCGCCACTGTCTGGGCACAATAACAAACTCCTGATGTATTCCCTGTATGTGGGTGTGTGTATGTGTGTGTGTGTGTGTGTGTCGGCCCTAGTATTTCTCAACAAAGACATCAATATGAGTGAGTCACTGCACACAAAAGGCCCCGAAATGTGTTGTATGAAAAGAATAATGCTTTTTCAGTGTTGAATTTTAGCCTCAGAATTTGGAAGACAATTTTACGCCATGTAACAGGCCTGAAGCTGGTGAACCTTGGGAAAAATATTGTCATAATTAGATCATGTTTGTATTTATATTTGTTCATTTGAATGGGACAGTGTGTATTAATGAGCATCCGGAGCTGTAAGTACACATGATTGGAGCTTTGTAGCTAATTTCTAGCTGTAGTTTCACTCAGTCACACTTACAAATCCACACTCATTCACCCTCACCTACAGTACACGTTTTTAGTGGTAGGGGAAACCGGAGCACCTGGAGAACCCCTACGAAAACCCTATTGGTAAAAATGGACAGTATGGACACAATTAAAGCTGGGGTAAATATGTAGGTAATAAAATCCATGTAAATAGTTCCTCGCTCTCAAAACAGTTTGGTTCCATCACTAGTTTTCACATGCATGGATTTTTTTTAGATCTGACTTTTCTGACAGATTGGACAGGGCTCAGCCAGAGCTCTGCCTTACAAGTATAAAAACAATAACATGTCTCCTTTTGAAATGAAGACAGCATGCTGCGGTCTGATTTGTTAACAACTATTTCTTTGTCCCAACAAGACTCTTTCTGTTGGAACAAAAAACATGGATTATTTATGACAGTAAAGTTAGTTGCCCCAGGTTTAAAGGTGAAACTTTGTAATTGTATTTCAGTGCCTCTGCTTGGCTTAACCACCACCAGTAAGATTTTCTGGAGGAGAGAAGCTGGACCAATGGCAAGAGGCTTTCTCTGTTAAATCTCTTCCATCCACTCAGGAAGCAAAGGGAGTTAGAATGGGCGGGTCTAACCAGAGCTTGTTAGTAAAAAATCTCTCTTCACCTTTCAAAAAGTAACTGAGTATTTTATGTTTATTCCTTCCACAATACAGTTTATGTGACATCCTTCAACAATAATTATGAACATACAGTTAACGTTGAGCCTTATTCCAGCAGTTAAAGGTCCTATATCACGCTTTTCTTCATGTTTCACACTCAATCCTAAACACATGTGTGATATTAATGTGTATGATACACCACACAACAATCAAAGCTTGTGAGATTAGAGCCATCTCTTGTATAGAGGTGACGTCACCTCGACTCAAACGAGCTGATCCAGAGTCTGCTCCTCTGCCTGTGAGCCCGCCTCCCCCCGCCCGCACGGTGACGTAGCATCACGCTTTTGTCGTTTATCGCCTGTACTTAGTAATTTCATACATAAGAATAAACTTTTTCCAACAATGACAATCCGTCACATCGAGCCCTATGTCCTTGATGCACAATCAGACCCTAGTTATTTAGTTTACAGAAGTATACAGCGAGTTAGCGTCACTACTCACAGATCGAGGGGGTCCGAGTTACGTCTTTTACCGTGGGAATAACGTGTTTCCAGATCAGCTTTTGAGTAAGTCCAGTTCCATTGTCCCTGTAGTTCTGGAACAGTCTCAGTGAAGTGTCGCAGATGAACCGGTTTATAATAGATCCATGAGATGAACAGATGAAAAAAGTCGAGCCGCTTTCTTCCTCTTAGGGCCAAATAGTGTGTCACATATTTACACCCATAACACACTTCATTCAAGTTGACGTGATCCTAACACTTTTAGTTGCTGACAAAAGCATAAAAACAGCAGCTCTATGTGGTGTCCGCGAGACCAGACCACAGACGCTGGACTCGGGAGCCGGAGCCTGTGCGCTCTGATTCGCTGTTTTGATCCGTCAATCACCTCCCGCCGGCTTTTAATTTATTTTTATTTTTATTATTTTTGACAAAAAACAGCATACTAATTGTGTATCGTTTACCCCGTTTTGACAAAAGTATTTAACAACTATTTTAAATACAAAGCAAACGGGGTCATGCGCGTCATCAGTGTGGTTTTCGTCACTGAAGTGGACCCGAGCGTTTCTGTGCCTCACGCTGGGGAAGGAGACAGATTGCTCTCTTACAAAAGATTGACAGAATCAATGGATAAACTACTGTGGGCTTGTGTATGAAGGTCAAATAGCATTGTAATCATGTTTAAAGCAGAGAAAAGTCAAAAACCGTGATATGGGCCCTTTAATGATTAATAAGCTATTGATAAAAAAGCTTATACAATAATCCTATTGTTTAGAAACTCTCAAGTCGCTTGCAAAGTCACCCGAACCGTGACTGTAAAATGCATCCAGTTTGATCACAGCACATTTGTCTCATTCACCAACTTATGTTTTCCTCTATGTGATTTACAGCACGAGAAATACAGTGGATGCAGATGTAAGAGTTTCAACATGTTAAGTTTAATTTCTTGGAAAAACAAACCAATATTTTAACACATTTTTTGCAGCCACTGAAAGAGCTGAGAACTACACCCATCACTCACTTGGAAGCGATCTGATAAACAGCACTTAATATTTGTGCACACACAGAGGGACCTGCCAAGACAATAAAGATCATCTGCAGCCAATGAGCACTTTATGGCTCCATGTAATCGACGGAGCCTTTGCACAGCACACAGCAGAGCAGAGCCAGAGTCAGGCCGTAAGAAGTGGAAAATGTTGCATCACCATAAATAACACCACGTAAACATCCATACAGTGAGAACGTTCTTGCTCCGCTCAAGACCAGGAGGCACCAAACCCAGTTCCTGATGATGGGAAAGCTCTGCAGGCTCTGGGTTTGGTCACAGCTCTCTTTGTACTTACAGGTAAACCAGGAACTCCTCTGGGTCCATCTTTGCCTGTATCCCCTGGAGGCCCTCGAGGACCTGGAGGTCCCGGTGGGCCAGGTGGTCCGGGTGGTCCGGCCTGGCCCTGGTCTCCCTGCAGGGCACACACACATGATTAGAGTCTGATATTGTTGGATGAACGACAGCAGTAAGAGTAATCATGGGAAAGCTACAGGCCTAATGAGGAGTGTGACTTATGGTTGACACTAGAATAATATAGATGCCATTGATCAGATACAGTCCACGACTTAATCCTGTTACATGCATGAGATCCAAAATAGACTTAATGATCTCAACAGAGGCTGTAATGGGCTGAGTGCTGAGTAGAAAAGGTACATTTGTCAAACTAAGTGTACAGCATTAAGCCAAAACACACAGAGTGTGTGGGCCATTAATACAGAGCTCACAATGAGGAATATTAAAACAAACCATTAGCAGCTACACATCAGAAGAATGGAAGAATGTGGCAGTAATGAAATAGTCTTTAAGGTCTGACTCATGGTGGACTGAGAGATATAATAGTGTGAGTCTGTGTGTGTGTGCATGAGTGTATGTACTGTACGTGTGCCTGCAAGAGAGTGTGTGTGTGTGTGTGTGTGTGTGTGCACATGTGTGTATGCGTGAGTTTGCGTGAAAATGTGTGAGTGTGTGAGTGTTTGTGTGTATGCATGCATGTTTGTGTGTGTCCGCATGTGTGGGTATGCACGTCGCTGTCAGGGTGTGTGAGTGTGTGTGACAGCGTGTGTGTGACAGCGTGTGTGTGACTGCACGTGGCTGTCAGGGTGTGTGAGTGTGTGTGACAGCGTGTGTGTGAGCGTGTATGAGTGTGTGTTTGAGTGCAGACTGTACCAGCAGGTGAAGAGGTGAACCAGAGACAGAAGCACTACCTTAATGAGACGTCTCTTTATGAGCTGCTGATCAGCGGAAAGAAAGCCGTGATTGATCTTAGGGAAGACCATCTGAGCAGGTGTGAGGCCAGAGGGCAGAGCAGACAGGAGAAGCATGAGGTCCCAGAAGAAAAGCAGGAAACAGAGAAAGTTTATTAAAGACTTTTTAGAAAGAAACTCAGTAGGGCTTTCACACGGGGAACCCACACTAATCTCTCAAAGTGGTGGTTTACTGAGGAAGTTTGGACTTTTTCTTTTGGCATTATACCCCATAATTACCACCTCAGGGTGCGAGGGCGCCACAGCTGACTCGCGGTTCCCTGAAAAATGTTGTGTTTCCTCCTTTTGTGAAAGCGCTATTGACATCACGGAGCTGCTCAGTCCGACCCGGAGTGGCACACGCCGTCCGGCCCCTGGAGCTGAGGGTCCTTCCCACCACGGCCCTGTCAATGCCTGTATTATTCTGCTAAAGTGGTCTTATCCATCGCTAACATAATCTTGTGGTTCATGTTGGTGGAAGGAGGGATTTGTGGTGAGCTGTGGGCATGAGCTGCAGAAACATTGCCACTTTTGGTCTGTTTCCATCCAAGTTCCTTCCATTCATTTATTCACTTATTTAGTCCGGTCAAACCATAGACTATTTTACACATTTGCGCTAAAGTTGGCTGAAACGAATTACTCACTGTCAGATCAAGTCAGTTCAGCATGATCTTATTGATATAGAAAACAACTTTGGTTTCAACTTGGTTCTAATTACAAGGAGAAACAGTAGATCAGCATTGTCATTTACTGTTTTGGGGCTATTAGCTAATAAAGCTTTTTAAATTCCAGATTTATGCATGTGTATGAATGTACTGTATGTATATGTATATGATATGTATACATTTTTTATATTTCCCTCATTCTATGTATTTTTATGTTCAAAAAATGTTTTATAGTCTCCAAATGTTCTGGGTTGCTTCTGCATGATTGGCGCTTTATGAATACAATTTCTTTCACTAGTTGTGGTGTAGTGTTTTTTCTTATATCATTATCTTTTTAGCTGGTTCTATTCCTGTACTTTTATCTCGTTTATTCATGTACTTGTCTGGTACATACATGTATTTTGCACATGTATTTCAATGCGGGTTTACTGCAAATGGAAAATAAAATACATCTGAATCTGAATCTGAATCTTTAGAACAATACAAATTAGAATGAGTGAGCTTAAGTTTGTTCTAGACCAGTGTCTCCCAAAGTGGGGTCCGCGGCCCCCTGGTGGGCCGCGAGGGTACTGCAAGGGGGCCGCGGGAGGTCATAAAAAAAATAAAAAATAAAAAAACATTATGTTAAATTTATAATGTTTTGTTTGTAATATTAAAATATGTGTTCATTATTTGACTTGAATAATCCACTGTAATCATTTTTGTATTACAATGTTTGTAGCAGAGGCTATTTCCCCAAAATAAAATAACCAGAAGAGCCTATTCTTAATGTTGTCTTCTTGGTTATTATTTTGGGGGGCCACGCAGACCCGTCAGATTTTTAAGGGGGCCTCGGTGTTACTGAGTTTGGGAATGGCTGTTCTAGACAATACGGGGCCGTGGTATTAGCGTCTGCCGGTGCCGGGTTGGACCGAACAGCCAGCTCCACCTCACGACAAACCTTCACAGTCAGGATCTGATTACTGTGCAAAGCAGCCAGCGTAGGCAGCCCAGGCAATCCCTGAGGACAACACAACACAAAATGCACAACACCACACACATCACATTAAAACAAACCAAAAGGCACGGACAAAATTAATACAAATACATGACAAAATCAGGTTTAAACAAAAGACTGTAGAAGGAGTGGACTCACGGAAAGCTGACGTCTCCCGCATATTGTTTGAATGCAGAAGAGGAAGATTTGAAAATGGCCATATTGGAAAGTTTGGAGCCAATTTTCCTTATATGGGCATTTGTTATGACGGGGTGACCGATGCGCTGTAGCAGGGGCTGTTATGTGTTGCCATGGATCTATTATAATATCTAGATAGGGTATTACTAGCTGGGAGCTGAAGAACCATGTGCTCGGGGGATTCTCGTGGTACTGCAGACTAAACTAGACTAAATTCACGTGGGATACCCAAAAAAAATTCCCCATAGAACTCAAACTAAACTAAAACAACTCGACCTCAGCTGACAGAGCACTTACAGCTATCAGCTACAGCTTTTCTTTAAATCCACACTTTAGTTTTCAATGGAAGTGATCAAGAGCCAGAGGGAGTAGGAGCAACATGTACTTGAGCACATTTCTATAGGGCTGCATTGAGCTAGCAACATTAAGATAACGGTAATGAGTTAGCAGCATTGAGCTAACGGCATTGAGTTAGCAGCTTAGAGCTAACACCATTGAATTAGCAGCATTGAGCTAGCCACATTGAGCTAGCAGCCTTGAGCTAACAGCATTGAGTTAGCAGCATTGAGCTAAGGGCATTGAGTTAGCAGCATTGAGTTAGCAGCCTTGAGCTAGCCGTATTGAGCTAACGGCATTGAGTTAGCAGCATTGAGCTAACGGCATTGAGTTAGCAGCATTGAGCTAGCCGTATTGAGCTAACGGCATTGAGTTAGCAGCATTGAGCTAACGGCATTGAGTTAGCAGCATTGAGCTAGCCGTATTGAGTTAGCAGCCTTGAGCTAGCCGCATTGAGCTAGTAGCCTTGAGCTAACGGCATTGAGTTACCAGCATTGAGCAAGCAGGTTAGCATCGTCCACTCCTTCAAAAGTCAATTAAACACCAAACAAGGGTTACACAAGTTGACAAAGACATTCACACATCACCACGTACCAAACTGGGAACATGTGCAGCTGTTGAACAAGGCAATCATTTACTTTTTCTATGTCCAAGTTTAATTTGTGGCGTTGTGTCCATCTGCTCTGATTCAAGTGAAACATTTCTCGTTGCTTTCTCTCCAGTAAACAACAGATAGACTTTGAGCTTTTTGAAGACATTTCTTGGGAATTAAACTAAACATTTGCCAATTGTCACAGTGACAGATGTGATCTAACCAGCGTAAAAAAGAACAATGCCATACATCATGGCGTAAATGGTTTATAGACAGACGCCAAACTTTAAACAAATTACATTTAGTTTCACTTGAACTCAAATCTGTGCGTTTTTTTTATAATGAGCACAACGCCACACGCTTTGCAAATCTCTTAATCTCAACAGCTAAACGCATGCATGAAAAAGGTTGGAGAGCAGACATCGAGTCATTCATTGTTTATGTAAAAAACTGCAATTTCAGATGTCATTGCACCTGAATAAACCAACGACAGAGTTTCTCCCAAAACTGGCACGCAAACATAAACACGCAGCGATAAAAATCTCCCCGTTTCCATAACAGGGCCTGATGCCATCCACAGAGAATTCAGAAAGCATGGATTGTTGAAAAAGATGGCTTTCAAATGGGGTGAGCTTACGATGCAGACAATAGTCATATTTCTTGAGCTATTTACAACCTCAAAGACCAAAATTGGAAAAGAATGGACGGCATCAAACCAAATTCAATTGTGCATTTTTATGGTTGAGCTTGGCAAGGGTCACTACAACAAGATATTAGTGTTGGGGCCATGTAAATTACTTATCTAATCAGGGAAAAGAATGGGAAAAAATATATATAAACAGTGAAAATCCAGTGTAGTCCATTTCACAAGGGAAAGACTTGGAGTTTTAAATGTGATGTCACTTCAAATAAATTTTGTGTAAATCAAAAATTGCATATTTCAACGCCCTGGTCTAAATGTAAAGTATTTATTGTATAATTATGATTATTATTTGTGTAATATATCTAATTATGATTCATACCTTTATTAGTCTCACAATGGGGAAATTCCAATGTAGGACCTCCCGAATGTTATATCCACAACAAGTAAAAGGAGAATCGCTAAATCAATGGGGTGAGTCTGTCATCAGGAGAGGTGATGAGCATGGCCAAACTGGTGCTAGATATTGTCGCCATAGTGACATTTTCCCTCTACATTTGACCCGTCCTGCAATACAACTAGGACCTCCCACAGGAGCAGTAGTCATCATAGCACGGCATCTGAGCCGTAGCTTGAGGATTTGACCTATTATACATGTTTTTAGTGGTTAGGAAAACCAGAAAACCTGGAGGAAACCTACAAGGACATGTGAAGAACATGCAAACTCGAAACTCCAACATTGATTAGAACCCATGATCTTATTGCTGAAAAGCGAGATTGTTATGTTTTAGGGATGTGGTACCTCAACATAAAAAATATGTTTTTTTGTGAAATGAGAAGGCAGAAGTGTGAGTCACTAACGTCCTGAGGCTGAGCTGATTGGCTAAATGAGGGCGGCCCTCTCTTTTTCCCTTTTCTGTCTGAAATAAACTGATCTAAAGATGTCCATAAATACAAGCGTGTGAACACTAGTTAAAGAACCTAAAGGTTTTTAGAGCAAGGAACTAGTTAGAGTTTTATTACATACTTACATGTTTTGTTTTCAATTAAGATAATCCAAAACACAGTGGGAAAATGTCAGTGTTGCATCACCAATTACAGAGCAGTAGGAATGAGGAGCACACAGCACAAGATAAGTGAACAATAATGCAATACTAAAATGAAGCAAAATCTCTAACTTTAGCATAACAATAAAAAAGAAGCAAGTCTAAAGTCTCCAACTCTGCATAAAGTCAGGTACCCCAGCTTTAACATATCCCTAGAAAACAACAGCCGTTTCTTTTCTTGTAATTGCAATAGTGCACTATCAGTAATTGTGTTAATAATTATCCAACTACAAAGCGCCTGCATAACACAGTGGTCTGAATCCTCTGGGACTTTTCCTTTCAACTCCCTTCAGAGGCTGCTCTGGGGCCCGGGGTGCGGGCTCTCCCTGTGTCTATGTGTGAGGACCATAATGACACCGTGGTTGATAGGGGAATCCTAACCATTTACAGATTGCACTGTTTTGCTTTCCTCCTCCAGATCGGATGTGTATTATTGGACAGGGCGGAGAGATGCGCACGGCCCGCGGCGGAAAAGTCACCGTAGTAAACAAAAAAGCAGAGATACGCTCTCAGGAATGTA